AAGGGCGTCTGCAGAGCGAGTGGGGTCCTTCCGGCAGATGGGGTCCCTCGGCCTGGCCTGTGGGGATTGGGCCAAAACTGGCTCTCTGACATCCGCCGAGGGGTCCCGGAGTGCGAGAGGGTACTCTGCAAAGTTGCTGTCATACAGGGTGTGGAACGCAAATGCAAGTGTGCAGTAAACCATGTGCCCTGACTGGAAAATGAACCAGTGACCTCTTGGTTCCTGGGTCCATGCTCAACCACTGAGTCATATTAGCCAGGCTTTTTTTTGAGCTGATATATTTTTTAAATGTTACCTGTGGTATTTATCCTTAGTAGGAGGTAGTTTAGAGCTCTGGAGTAAAAACATCTGAGGTCAAATTTTCTTTATCACTACTCCCCACATGACTTACAAGTTTTAGTTTCTTTATTTGTAAAGTGGGTATGGTAATCTCAGGGTTATAGTTAAGATCAAATGAAATTGTGCACATGTAACAGTTAGTAAAGGGCCTAGTACCAAATAAATTCTTAGCTAATGTGTGTTATTATTATTTAAATTCTAGCTGTTATTTGTGGCATTAAGTCTTGATTATATATATAACATCCATTTGAAATGGATCATCAGAAAATTATTTTATCTTCCAAAATACAATTTCTTATAATATTTGTGGTAAAATGTTCTCTTTTTAGGACAGATTCATGTGGCAAATCATTAAATTATCCTGCAGTCAAAGAATCAAGCCCTTCTCACTTGCAAACCCATACCCTCCAAAAATTGAAAAAGAACATGCTTCTCTTACTTTGTTAAAATCCACCCTAAGAGACAGATGATATATCTACATCTGAATAGAAATATTGTCCAATATAACTGAACGAGACTATAAATATTCCTATCTTATATATATATATATATATATATATAAAAGCCTGATATACAAATTGTCCGTACTCGCTATGGTGTGCACTGAACACCAGGGGGTGGTGCAGAACAAAGGAAGCCCCTGGCCGGCAGCTGAGGAAGGAAGGCCCTGGTCAGCAGCAGGAAGGCCCCAATAGGACCTGATGGCCGGCCAAGCCTAGGGACCCTACCTGTGCACGAATTTTGTGCACTGGGCCTCTAGTTCTTTATATTTGAAAAGGTATTTTAAAATTAATTGGCTTAAAATGTAGTAAGTTTCCTTGCAGGTGTTTATACAGGGATAAATGCAGGAGATGAATGGCAAATTTAGTTTTAACCCTTGCACAGATATCCTTTAACTTATATTGTTCAGTTTTGCTTGTGTTTGGACTTTATATAATGGAATTATGCTGTATACTTTCTGTGACTTGCTCCTTTTTTCAGATTCATTCATGTTAATGGGTTTAACTATAGTTTATTTTCACTATTGTGTAGTTTTCTATTGTATCATCTATCTATATCTATATATATATAAAAGGCTAAGCAACTGTCTGACCAACTGGTTGGAACTTATGACACACACTGACAACCGGGGACAGATGTTCAATGCAGGAGCTGTCGAACTGCAGTGACTTGGCAACAGCAGTTCTTGGGTGAAGCACCCTGGAACCAGAGAGGAGGGAGCCAGATTCTGGGGTGCATCACCTGAGAACTGTCCTCTTACAATCCAGGACCCCTTGAAAGATGTCGGAGAGCTGGTTTCGGCCTGATCTCTGCAGGCCAGACCAAGGGACTCCACCTGTTGGAGGGACCCTACTCACTCTGCAGATGCCCTTCGAGACATGGCGCTGCCCCAGGTGCGGCTGGCTGGGGAAGGACTGCGGAGGTTGGCTCCAGGGCATGTCTGGCCCGTCTCACCCAGTCCTGCCCTGCTGGCCACCTTCTAATTAATTTATTTTCAATGTGCACGAATCCATGCACCAGGGCACTAGTTTTAATATATTCATCCATTGTTCTGATGCATTTTTGGGTAATTTACAGTTTGAGGATATAAGGAAGAATGTAGCTATAAATGTTAGTATACATGTCTTTTGGTCTGTATGTGTAATGGAATTGTTACATGATATAAATGTAATACACCTTGATTCTTAAAAAATTCAAAGGACTATTATATAAGTTATGCTTAAAGGGGACTACAATACTTAAAATATTTGCATTGATTTTTTTAAATACATATTTTAAGTTTTTAAATAGTGTAAAATGTCTAGAAACTATAGAAGTGGGAAACAGCAGCTGTAATATTAAAATGTTTGTCTCATACACACTTTTTTGAGCATGATTATAATTACTTAGATTTGTTTCCTGCTATTTTTCTCATCATGTACATTTTAAGGTATATTACGAGGCATCATAGGTTTATTTATATCAGTATTAATAGTTGTATATTACTTCCATCAGGTAGACAATAATCATTCTCTTCTTGTTGAAAGCTTATATTGTTTCCAGTGTTTTATTGTAGATAATATTGTGATGAATTGTGTGGGACTCTGATTCTTTCCAGGGATAGCTAAGGGAAAGCCTCACAATAGCAGCCTGGAAACAATTACAAAACCTTTTTTGAGCTTAAAGAGAAATTAACTATTAATTATTTGATTTATATTAGACCCTGTGGTATGTGCTTTGCATGTATTCTCACTTGATCTTGAAATAATCAGTGAAATATGAGTAGCATACCCAACATTATTTTATCTGATTGAATTATAATGATCTGTTTTGTGTCAGTCTCCTATAAGAGTGACATTTTATTTTTGAATCATCAGGGTTTATTTTAGTTCCTGGTATATAGTGAGTCTCATTATATGTTATCTATTAAAATGAATGTTTAAAAGCTTTGCCCAGGTAGGTCCCTGACCTTACTTTAAAATTCTCTACTTTGCTGCTGTTGTTTTTTTGAGCCGTGGTTTAAAATCTCTGAGGTAGGGAATTAGTAGATAATAAACTGATTCCAGGGTTGTGCCTAAAAGGTGTTATATAAACCACATTTCTGATTTTAATTTTTGTGTGTCTATTTTTGCCATTTATCTCTGCCAAAAATGTGCAAAGAGGAAATTCTAGTTGAATTTTTATTGATACTTCACTTATCATTGAAATGAATGTTTATTTGAAATTACTGCATGTTATTTATTCATTTGCATTTTAGTTCCTTTCTCTGGTTATTTGGAATATTCACAGTGAGATACATTAGAACCACTCTAGCTTTTATCAGTGGCTTTTTAAAAAAAACTAATCTTAATAACTTATAAAACTGAAGACGACCCGAAAGCCCACAAAACATTCCAGAGTTCACTCATCTGCTCCCTCTCTGAATTTGTATAGTATACTTACTAACAATTTCTTTTTAAAAATATATATATATATTTTTATTGATTTCAGAGAGGAAAGTAGAGGAAGAGAGAGATAGAAACATCAATGATGAGAATCATTGATTGGCTGCCTCCTGCACGAGAGCCCGAAACCTGGGCATGTGCCCTTGATGGGAATCGAATCCGGGACCCTTTAGTCCGCAGGCCGATGCTCTATCCTCTGAGCAAACTGGCTAGGGCTTAACAATTTCTTTTTAAAAGTAGTTTGCTCTTGCCTTTATATTTTGCCATAAACATACCCATATGTACCATTTATTATTAAAAGTTGTCTACTTCATCTTTCTTTTAACATAGAAGAAAATCTGTGGTTTCATAAAACTTAACCCTTATTTGTGCATACTTGGAGTTTAATTACAGTGACAAATTTAAAATGTAAGAATATTGGATAGTTTAAAACACACATATAATTTTTTTATTCTGAGACTGCAAAAACTGTAATGTTTTGAAATACCATGTAGTGAGATCAAATTGCTCAATTATAAAATAAAGAGAAGCCTGCTTTAAAGTCCTGTCCTCTACTGCTGCATAAGTTGACTATCAGAAGTAAATTGCAGTGGGCCATTTTGAGGAGCATCCCCAAAATAACACAGGCTTATTTTGGTGGTTCTGACCTACCAGAGAGGAGTAAGAATAGTAACATGTAATACAACTATTTCAAAGAAATTGAATTGAATAAAATCTTTTAAATTTATTGTGAACAGGTGTCAGTTCTTAAAATTATACTGTGACTGCATTAATCTTAGCTTTCTTACATGTGCCCCATAAATACTACTTTAACTATGGAATATGTTCTTTTGAAAGTTCATATTTATTTGTGAAAAATATATACCTTTATCATACTGAGAAAACAACTTGTATTCTGGTATTCTGTAATTCAGTAAAATTACTATTTGTAATTCAACACACTGTGCAACATGTTTGTGTAACACTTTGCTCTAATGGGTATTTTTGCAAAGTGTATAATTTGAAGCATCAATCAGACCGTCAAACCTCAGAGGGAAGGTAGGGGAAGGTGGGGTAAGGGGGAGAGATCAACCAAAGGACTTATATGCTAACATATAGGCCTAAACAATGGACATAGACAACAGGGGGATGAAGGCATGAGTGGGGGGATGGGGGATAATGTGGGGATATGTAATAACTTAATAAAAAAAATTTTTAAAATTGAATTTTAGTAAATGAAAATGTATTTTCTTACTGCTCTACAATAAGCCATTGCTTTACTAACACTATTGCTGTTGTTTTTTTTCTTATAGCTTAGCTATTTGTTTGAGGGTACTTTCCTAACATTGTGATAGGTTAATTTTATATATATGGTTTAGAAATATTTGCTTTATGTCTCTCTATACAGATACATAGGTAATATGTGTATATATTTTGCTGAGCCATTTGAGAATTAAAGGTATGATATTTTACTTTTAAATATTCAACAAGTCTCTTTTTAAAACAGGACATTCTCTTACATAAACACAATGCAAAACGATATATTCTTTTAAACATCTCCCCAGGTACTACTTTAAGGTCTATGGTGATATTTCTTTTTTGTAATATTAAATTACATTGATAGTAATTTATTTTCTAATTTTGTTTTGAAAGCTGTAACCTGTAAATTATTGAAAATTTACTATTTCACCTAAAATTGTCTTTACTGTCCTTTTTAAGTAACATTTTAATATGTTAAATATCTTTCCCCTTCTTTAGGTATGGCTGATGGCAAGCATTGTACTTTTCCACATCTACCTGGCAAAACCTTTGTCTATAATGCTTCTGAAGATAGACTGGAGTTGTGTGTGGATGCTGCAGGACATTTTCCCATCGGTCCTGATGTTGAAGACTTAGTTAAAGAGGCTGTAAGTCAGGTTCGAGCAGAGGCTTCTACAAGAAGTAGGGAATCAAGTCCCTCACATGGGCTATTAAAACTAGGTAGTGGTGGTGTAGTGAAAAAGAAATCTGATCAACTTCATAATGTAACTGCCTTTCAGGGAAAAGGGCATTCTCTAGGAACTGCATCCAGTAACCTACAACTTGATCCAAGAGCTAGGGAAACTCCAGTTGTAAGGAAGCATAACACAGGGACAGACTTTAGTAATAGTTCCATTAAAACGGAGCCTTCTATATTCACAGCTACTCCTAGTAACAGTGAGCTTATTCGAATAGCTCCTGGAGTAGTTACAACGAGAGAAGGCAGGCAGCTGGATCCTGAATTGGTTGAGGCCCAGCGAAAAAAATTGCAGGAAATGGTTTCTTCTATTCAGGCTTCAATGGACAAGCACTTTAGGGATCAAAGTACAGAGCAGTCAACATCTGATCTTCCTCAAAGGAAAGGAGAAGTTACGAGTTCTGTGAAGTCTGGGAGTCTTCAGACTGGCTTACCTGAATCTTTTTCTTTAACTGGTGGCACTGAAAATTTGAATACAGAAACAACTGAAAGCTGTGTGGCAGAGGCACTGGGAGCAGCATTTGCCACAAGGTCAAAAGCACAAAAGGGAAATTCCGTGGATGAGCCTGAAGAGATGGATAGTCAAGATGCTGAGATGACAAACACAACTGAGCCAATGGATCACTCTTGATTTAATTAGAGGCTAATAAAGGCAAAATGTTTATTGTGAATATGTAATATTTGTTGGCTGGGCCACATAATTTGATTAGTCATTAAATATCTTGTACGTATATAATTCAAAGGTTATATCTTGTTATTCAGTGCATGATAGCAAGTGTGTGATTGGCAATAGCTTTTAATATACTGCTGCCCAGGCTGGCTCTGAATTCCTACAAATTAGTATTAGATCTGCTGAGATGAGTTTTTTTCATATATGTGGTTCCTTGGAAGTTCTTTGTAATTTTAATTTCATGAAAGTCTTAATGTTTCAGACATGAAAATTCTCTTGCTAAAGATGTTTGATTTCTAAAAAGGCTAGGACTGGGAGGGAATGATATTTGCTACCGTTGATGTAACCACCCCACATATTTACTAGAGTGTCAAAGATTTATGTACATTTGAAGGTTATCCAAACTAAATTGTATCTTAAAATTCATAAAAAGGATTTTTTAGATATTAGGATCTTGACATTTCTGTGAATGTAAACATTCATAGAGATAGTATTCTTGGGGAAAATATTTTGAGAATAGAATGTAATGATAAAACATTTTGCTGATTTGAGCAAGATTATGGGGAAAATATCTGTTCTAGAATGATAGAAGTCAATGTGATTCAGTAATGTTGCTGTTTGAGTTAACACAGCCAATAGTGTGCTCTGTTGTGGATAATATGTTACTATTATTTTTTGAATCCTGGCCTAGTCAAGTACCACCAAGTTTGTTTTTTCTTTAATCTTGCAGAAAAGTTGATTGCAAAGTGTAGTAGAAAATGTAAAAATTATTGTAGCAGTAGTTAATCTCTAATTTTCAGAGTTTGTCAGATTCACAGACAATTTATAAATGAGAATTTTTCTTTATGAATGAGTTACATTATTCTACGATTTTGATCAGTGGTATGTAAGTTTATATATGCTAAGTATCTTTAACACCTCTCCTCCCTTTGAACCAAAACTGCTTTGTTCCCCCCCC